CGATCCCCTGCACTTAAATTAAAACCATGTCATTATAAATAGACATTAAAAAAACGATAAAACAAAAGCACACCACCTGTTAAGTGAGCCTGTTTACCTGGAAAAGGCGCATGTCCCATTAAGAAAGTGCACATTAATCCCCCCCCCCCGAGGAATTCTTTCATCCAGAGGTGCAAAACCGCTTTCAGCCCAGGGCCAAATTCCATCCTGGAGACACTGTCCAGGGTTACATTCCAGGGAGGGTCAAGCCAGAGGTTGAGGGAGCGGGACCAAAACGCTGGACACATCTGCACACGGGACAGGTGCTTCAACTTTTTAGGATGCAGGGAAACTGGACAAAAGCCAGGAAATGAATATACAGGGAGTGGTTTAGGGGGAAGAGGTATGGGGGGACCCCAGGGGCTGGTTTGGGATCCCATCCCGAAGTTTGGCATGTCTTGCTTCAATCGAAGCAGCCCCTCAGCCTTCTGGACAAAAAGGCAGGCATTTCATAGCAGAATCTTTAAAGAGCAGATTCTTCCAGAATTCTGATTCCTGAGCCGAACCACCCACGGATATGGCAGGAAATACAAACAACGCCTTCCCACACAGACACCAAGAGGGCTTGTGCAGGGAAAGCTCCAGGCGGACCGCGTCCCAATGGAGCAAATGTCACATGCTTCCACTCTGCACGCGCTTCGTGCTCCCTTCCTCTGCTGCCCGTGACTGCAGCATCTCCTTCAGTCGTGGGCGGCGGGCCGGCAACACGCGCCCAAATCTGCCCCACATCACCTTCCGCTTCGCCTCCCTCACATATTCTCTCCCTTTTGCTCACGTCGGAAAGGAACCTACTGGGAAACTCCCCCCCCCCCCCCCCCTCGCCTGGAAACCTCTCCTCCCGTCCGAGGTGCTCAGCTGGGCAGACGTGGCTGGCAGCCTTCAAGGCATCCACCACGCAGGCTGGCAGGCACCCGCGATCCTGTAATTCTACGTGTGCAGCTCTGAGCTGTGGCCGCCTTGTGTTGGCGGAGCCGGGGCTCCTCACGAAGAGCCACGCAGCCCGGACCCTGCCCGTCCGCCGGGGCCAGTCCTGCGAGGGAGGGGCGCGCCGACGGTGGCCTCCAAAGCAGGTGCGGACCTTGGAAGGCAGCACCGGCCACAGGCAGCCGTCGGCCCGTGTTCGCACGGCTCGGGCGGATGGACGCGGGGCTGGCTACGTCTGGGGAGCCTCTTGCCCGGGGAGGAGTGACCTGCAGGACCCGGGAAGCGGCTTCCTGGCCGCCCGTCCAGCAGCCAGCGTTGGCGGACTCTGCCTGGACGGGTCAGGAGGGAGGCCCCTGCCGGGCCTGGAAACACTGCTTCGTCAGCCCCGTGGCGTTTCTCCTGGCCCTTCCCTCCCGGCGCTTCGTCCTGGCTGGTGGCTCTCTTCCCTCATTCCAAAGAGGAGATCCCAGGACCCCCCTCCGCGGAGGCAAGGAAAACGCGGGCGAGCAGCAGGGCTTTTTGCAAATGCCAGCCTGTGCCGGCCGCTTCCCCACTGCCGGCACCACCCTGGAGTTTGGAATCTGGCTGTGGAGACGGATGGCGATGGATGACTGAAAGCACCCTTTCAAGAAGGAATTGGCAAGGGAGGACCTCCTGGCCCCGGCATTCCGCCTTGCGAGAGAAACGGGGCCAGCGGCTCGCTTTCCTCACAGAACCGTGTCCCACCTTAGGCACGGCTAACTTTAGCTGGATCGGAGCTGGAGCGAGCCAGCGGCTTCTGGCATTCGGCTTCCCTTTCGATATGGAAGTGGCCGCACTGCAGTTTCCACAACTATGAACCAAGAAAGAATTCCGCTTGCAGCTGAAGGCACTGGAATGTTCGCTTGGCTACCCTGCGTGACAGCTAAGCAGCCAGATAATGCAGATCACAGCAAAAGAAGGGATGTGGGGAAAACTGAGCTTAAAGGGACCAGCAGCTATCAAAACTTCCACCGCCCCCTTTAAGGAAATGATTCAAAATGTGTCAAACGGGGATTTCTCAAAAATCAGAAGACATGTGGAAGGGGAGAGTCAGGAGGGCTGACTTGCTGCAGGATTCCTGGAGATTATTACAAGATAAATAGAAACTCTGGTGGAAAGTGCACTAGGAAAGATACCAAGAAGCCACAGCGGATGCCAAGGAGGGTGAGGAATCGAGGCGAAGCAGCTATAAAAGGTATGAAATGCAGCCCAAAGGCGGATAAACATGTCCACAAGCTCTGGCACAACAATGCGGCTTGAGAAGAAGAAAAGAGGAGCAGGAAGCAGAGGGAAGTATTTCAGGAGCATAATGCGCCCGCCATGGAGTTCAAGGTCAAATGCCCCCAAAGGCAAAACTTAACGTGTCTGCAGGCCCCCAAAAGTCTCAACTTGAAATGATTATCCAAAAATCTGTGAATCTGGCCACTGAAAAGATATGGATAATCTCAGCCTCTTGACAAAAGGACTGGGAAGCAGGTAAGGTAATACTGATTTTCTAAAGGGGGAGCTAGGAAATAGAAGACGGCCTATTCGCTTGACCTCATTTCTGCCTCACCGACCTTCGAGAGGTCTTTGCGAGTATCGTGGCATGAGAAAGGGAAGTGTTCTGGAAATTAACACATCGCCAGATCTAGATGCTATCAAGGAAATTTTAGACTGGTTCTGGATAATGGGCTGAACATTTCTGAACAGATGTTCTGTACAGAAGAAGAAAAACTCTCATTAACCCGTCAACAAATATGAGAGATCCGACAGACATGGTCTGAAAAGTTCTGGACAAAGACCCGTACCGAGGCTGGTGGTGATGATCAGGGGAGAAGAGGGGTCTTTGGGCTGAGGACTGAAGGGCGAGAGATCGAGGGAAGACGCAAACGGCTCTCAGTCTGGAAGGAAGAGTGCAAGCATCTGCAACGGAAGCAGTTCTGCACCAGGAGCGAGCCACGAGGATGTGACGCTTGTGATGTTATCCAGACCTCTGGGCTGCTAAAAACTGGGCAGCTCGCAGGAGAGCTTCAGAATTGCCTCTGCAAATGTTCCAAGATCAGCTCTCCAGCCGGGCCGCAAACCAGCAAATGCGCAATGAGTTGCCTTGGGAGCCACGTCCCCTCCCTCCCCGCATCCTTTGATGAGGCCCGAGTTGGCTGTGAGCATGCAGAGAGCAGCTCTGGGGGGCCAGATCAGTGAGAACAGTGACTCAGTCCGCAGCAGCTGCAAGAACAGGGAGCTCCATCTTGGGAAGCGTCAGGGAAGCGATGGCAATGAAACAGCCGGCTGCATCATGCCTTTTTAGAAGCTGGCGAGCAGCTGCGCTCCAGCCTGAGAGCTGGCTCTCAAAAGCAGCATGAAAAGGGCTGGGCAGAAGTGGAAAGGCAGAGGAGCTCAGGCGGATTTCATTTAGAGACATGATGATTGATGTGGGGGGAGGGGTTTGTGAGCGAGATCGGAGATGGGAGCTGATCAAATTATGCAAGGTGCAGAGCAAGCACGTAAACGAAAATGGCTCTCTCTGGCTTTCAGAACTGTTGATCCACTAATGAAGAAAACCTGCAGGTTCCAGACGGACAAAGGAAAGAACCTTTAACACAACACGGGATTAATATCTGGAATTTGCTACAGCCAACGTTGGAAATTAGGCCCACGCTAAGAAGAGAAGGAGAGGCTTATCAATGGATATTAGCTAGGGCAGCTTTCTCTGACCTGGCTCTTTCCAGATGGACTACAACTCTTAGCATCCCCACTGGTCTGCTGGTCAGTTTGTGGGAATTGTAGTCCAAGCAGTACACCCAGGGAGGGAAAGGTTGGGCAGACAAAACAGAGCTCACAGCTCAGAGGCGATTCCTGAGAAGCTGTGGGACTTTTCTGACAGCTTCCGCCTCCTGACCGCAAAGACGACCGGCTGGCGCGCATCAGGGACTGAAAAGGCTCATGCCGAAGGTCTTAAATGTTGTGTATTTAAAAAGGGAAAGGAGAACTGTCGGCATCTGTTGGTTCTTCCTGGTCCCTTTCGAGGCCTCCCCTTCCCTCAATAAAATTTTCCCTTGCTTCTAACGCTTTCTGCTCAGAACAACTTCGCTTCCGGGGTGCTTCAGGAGACTTTAGGAAGCGATGGAGGATTTCCCTGGATCAAGACAGATCCGGGAAATCATATCCACACACGTCTGGAACCTATGTTGAGGTAGCTCCCTTTTCTGGCTTTGCCTTTTTCTGCGTTTTGCTTTTAAAATTCACCTTGTTGTTCCTAAAGCCAAATTCCAAACTCAGCCAGTGGTGAGTGGCCCAGGCGAGGTTACAAGGAATGTGCAGCCACGGGCAGGGTGGCCTGGCCTGGAAGGCAGACCCCAAATAGCATGTGGGGCCTGAAGAGCACGGGCGGTGCCTTCAGCCCACCTTGTTTCATAGGAAACGCATGGCTCCTTTCAGTGCCTTCCACTGAAATCAGCAGAGCAAAGGGATCACATGCCGTGGGACCAGCCCGCTGCAGAGGATAGCAGGCTGCCCTTCGTGAGCCTCGCTCGTCTGGCCTGCGTCCCGCCAGCGCCTGCTCCACCCACGGGGCTATAACGCAAATGCACCGAGATGTGCGTCGACCTCGCGGTTCCCCCCCCCCCCGAAGAAATCGCAGCCTGCTTGAAAGGGGCTTCTAGGAGAGACACGAGTTTTAAAACCCAGCAGTGCTCCGAGCCTGGACTGGCTTTGCTTCACGTGCCCTGATCCTGCGCTGGACGTGTCTTGTGCGCGGCCACCGACACGCCGGTCCAGGCTGGCCTCTCTGTCCTCTCTCGACACAGGGAGGCGAAGATGGGGCACAGCTGTCCGCCCCCCATCGGGGCCCCCACCGAGTTCTCTCTCCGCTCGCATCCGCCTCCACCCAGGGGGAGCCGTCGGGCGCCGGCGGCCTCCCGTCCCGTCCCGTCCCGCCGCGTCGTCTCGGCTGGAGCCTCCCGCGGTCTCTGCCCCCCACTCCGCCGGGGGCAGCTCCGGGCCGAGCCCGGCTCGGACGTGCCCTGGAGGTGGGTCCGGTTGTGCCACGAAGCGCGGAGGCTTTGGGCTCACGTCTGGGGCGGCGTCTCCAAGGCGCCGCCGTGGGCCTTCCGGGCGCCCACGTGCTCCGGGGAGGCCAGCAGCGGGTGGGTCAGGCTGACCTGGGCGTTGCTGAAGGAGGAGATCCGGCCGGTGCCGCCGATCTGGATGTTGACCGTCGTGGAATAGCTGGCCTTCTGCTGGCCCCTGTCCACGGGCCGCGTGGGACCCGGCGCCACGGGGGGCTCCGGAGCGGGGCAGCCCTCCTGCTCCAGGGGCCTCGTGGGGGGGCTTGGCCCGCCTCCTCTGTCCACACGCTTCAAGCACGGGCTGGGCACCTTGGGCCACGGAGCGACGGAGCTGTAGGGCGCCCCCAGGGCCCCTCCCACGGCCGGCTGACCCCCACCGGCCACCCCGCTGCCCTGGGGCTGCCGATGCATGGAGCGAGGTAAGGAGCCCCCTGCCGGAGCAGGGACCGGCGTCAGGGGCACGGGGGCCACGATGTGGGCCCGTGGCTGCCCAGGGGGCTGGGCGCACAGGGGGGTGAAGGTGTACGGGTGGGCTGCGGTGGGGGGAGGGGAGCAGAACCGCGGCCTCACAGGGCAGGGGGACTGTGCCCGGGAGCTGGGCTCCGAGGCGGAGGCGGCGGGGCCGGGGGGCCCGAAGAGCTGTGCCGTGGGGGGCATGGCTGCCTGGCGGAGGGGTGAGGGGGGCCCGGCGCCGAGGTCACGGGAGGGGGGGCTGGCCGTGGCCGCCTCTCCGGGGAGCGGGGCCTGCGGCTTCCCCGCCTCCCCATGCCCCCCAGGCACGGCCTTGGATGGCAGAGCCACGAGGGTCCCCGGGAGGGCCCGGCCGGGGTGGGCCGGCCGCTCCTCGTCCGGGGCTGCGCCGCCCTTCCTGGCCAGGCTCTGGCTGATGCAGGAGGCCGCGATGTACCTGGAGAGGGCGGCCGCGCTGGAGGAGAGGCACCGGCGGACCGGCGACGAGGCCGGCAGCTTGGGAAGGGCCACGGCCGGCTGAGGGCCCCGGGCGGGCGTCGCAGGCCCCGCCTCTGCTGCCCGGAGGCCCAAGGGGCCTGCGGGAGGGCATTCCCGGGGGGGTGCCTGCTCAGTGGGGGGCGAGGGGGGCGCAGTCCCCAGAGCAGCGAGCAGCGAGGGGCCGGCGAGCTTTGACGGGTCCGGCGCGGAGCTGGGATTCAGGGCTGCCTGGCTGTGAAGCCCGGCAGCGGCTCTGGGGTCTTCCGGGCACCAGAGCCCCCCCTCGTGGCCCACCGTGCCGTTCTCGGCCCTTTCTGGGTGAGGGGAGCCCCCCCTGCTCCTCGGGGCGCCCCTCGTTGGCTGCCAGGGCCCGGGGCTTCTGCGGGCTGGGCCCTGCTCCTGCCCCTGTGGCGAAGCCCCCCGTGCCCCGTGCGGAGCTGCAGAGCTGCCCGGCGGGGGCCTTGGTGCCCCCCTGGAACTTTTGCCCTCTGGGTCCCTGCAATTCTGCAGTGATCTGGGGGGAAGGCCAGGTATCCCCACGCCTGTGGGACTTTCTGGCTGGGCCCCCAGATCCCGGGACGGGTCAGCGGCCTCCCCCACCTCCTCGCACACCCCGGAGGCGTGGTCTCCCTCCCCCACTTTCGCGCTGATGCACTTCGGCTCTGAGGCCATTGGGGCACCAGGGCCCATGCTGCACGGCGCTGGCGGGGAACCGTGGGTGCTTCGGTGGGTGGCGGTGTCTTCCTCCGGCCCGACGGGCAGCGAGGCCCCCGCTTCCACGCCCACGGGGTGGGCAGGGGGGCCCGGCAGTTCCCGCCGCAGCGGGCCCAGGAGGTCCGGAGAAAGGCGCGGGAGGGGCCTGTCCCCGCGCAGCTCGAGGGCCGTCCCCCGCGTGGCGGCCACGAGCGGCGTGTTCTCCTGCACCCCGACCACGTGCTGCAGTGCCTCGTGGATGAGCACGTGCCCGTAGATCCGCGGCTCACCTGTGGGGAGAGAAAGGGGGGGCGGCGTGAAGGGGCCCCTCCGCGGGGCGCGCCAGGCCCAGGCCGCCCCTTGCCCTGCTCGGGCGCATCACCTCGGGCCCTCGGAGCGGAAGGGCCGCTGCCGTGACGGAGCCAGAGCACCGGCGAGCGGCTCTCCTTCTGGCACGTGGGGCTTCTAAGCCTCAAGCAGTGAGTTGTGCCCCCCCCCCAGCCCCCAATAGCTTGAAACAGTTCCTGAGGCTCCTGGAAGGCGGACACAGAGGAAGGACGGGGCTCCCGGCAAGCCAGCCTCCAGCTGATGCCGCTGCTTTAATAGAGAGCTGGGAGCCCCTCGGAACTTAACGGGCTTACTTCTGAGTAGATATGTCGCGACACACACCGTTGGCGTGCCAGACACAGCCGGCCCCCTGCCAGGCCAAAGGGGCCATGCAGAATGCTCCCCGGGGGCCTCGACCCCCCACCCCCATCCGGTCCCGCTCGCTTGGCCGGTGCTTCCTCGCCTCGTGTGCCCTGGCAGCGGGTGGGGGTTGCTTCGTTGCAGGAGGCGGTTAATGCACAGATCATTTTTGTCCTGGAACAGCCTTTAATACTCCCCAGTGCACTCCCTCTTTTAAACAGATTGCCCTCTCCATGGAAGTTAACGGATGGAAGGGAAAACGCATCTTCATGAGGCCTAGAAGGCTGGCAGGACAAAATGGGGAGGGGACGCGCTGCCCACCCCTCGTGCCGTGGGCTGAGGACCTCAGTGCACTTTGCAATGAAATGGGTCCCCACAGAGCTGCCCACTTCAAATGGATCCCGATCTGGATATTCTCCACACTCTGCTGAAGCCCCTAACTGCTGAGGGTCGAGTGCCCTGTGGAGCAGCCCGTGCATGCAGATTTTGAAAATGGGAGCGACTGAAAGCGCAATTTGAAATGTGGGTGCCACGGTGCTTTCACCTCTGCCCAGCGACTCTCAAACACCCCCCTCCTGCTGCCGGCCGCACCGCCCTTCCGGCACTGGGCCAAGCCCCACGGGGCTCCCGGCATTTGGCCGCATCAGAGAAGGCGCCCTTCTTACGAACGGCTCCCGGGCGCTTTATTGCTTGCGCGGAGTCGCTGAACGCGTCTGCACGTGGGCTGGGCCACGACGTGGCGCGTTTCTCCTCGGGACCTTCGCCACGTGGCCACAGAGCCCTGCTCCCGGGCAGCATGCGCCACGAGACGTGATCGCCGCCCCCCCAGCCCCGGAGAGAGCGGGGAGCCCCGGGTGCCCGGAGTCCCCATGCAGGGCTGGCCAGGGGAGCCCCCACATGCGGGACCAGGCGGGGTTCACTCACAGTGGGGGACGCTGGCCGGCCGGCTCTCCTCCTGCGCCGCGGCCAGGCTGCGGCCGGGGCTCCTGCGCCGGGGGGCCCGGGACCGCCCCCCCGGCCTCTCCCCGCCCCGCCGCTGCGCCTTCAGCCGGTTGATCTTCTCGCTGTACATCTTGGCCAGCGCCTGCACTTTGCTGAGGATGCGCTCCGAGTTCTCCAGGAGGCACGCGTCCCCGCTGTCCTCGCACAGCGCCAGGGCCTCCGGCCAGCGCTCTTCCTGGGCTGGGCCGGGCCGGGCCCCCGGGTCTGGGTCCCTGTCCGGGCCTGGGGGGGCGTCGTCCAGGTCCGAGTCCTCCACGATGCGCAGCGGCTCGGCGAACGCCGGCGCCTCCGGGGAGGGGTGCGGGCCCCGGCTCGGCCCGGGGCCCGCTCTGTGCGGTGTGTCCAGGCTGCTGCGCTCCTTCTCCTGCCAAGCCCTCCGGATCTCTGCGCAGGATCGGAACTCGGGCTCGGCGGCCTCCTCCCCCCCGTCCCCCAAGCCAAGCCCCCCCGCCCCCTGCCTCGGGGGGCCCTTCTCCCCGCCAGGGGCGCCGTCCGCTGGCCCGCCGTGCGAGTCCCCCTGGCCGGCCGGGGTGGGGGGGGCCTCACTGCCCCCGGGAGGTTCGGCGCCGTCTGCGGCCCGGCTGCCGTCCGAATAGCTCCGCCCCCTCTGCGGCGGTTCGGGGCCTGTGGGCCGCGGGCCCCGCCCCTCCCCGGGGTCTTCGCGGCAGCCCGGCCCTTGCGTGTTGCAGGACTGGCTGCGGCCCCGGCCAGGGTCTTCGCGGCGGGGGGCGCTCTGTGGGGGGCGGAGCCTCCTGCGCGCGGCCCCTCCCACCGCCGGGTCCCGCGCATCGTTCTGCCCCAGGATGCTGTTGAAGCGGAGCACGGACTCCCGCACCACGCCGGCCGGCACGGGGGGCACGCAGTCCCGCCTGCCCAGCCCCGGCCCCCTGCTCATGGCCTCCACGCCCTCGTAGTAGCTCTTCACCCGCTCGATCAGCAGCCAGTCGTCCCTGGTCAGCGCCGAGTCCCGCCGGGCCCTGCCCTCCGCCGCCTCCCTCCTCTCGCCCCTGCCCGAGCCGGCCCGGGGGTCCTGCAGGCGCTCGGGGCTCCGGGTGCCCACGGCCTCTCGCCCCTCCCCGGCCGGGTCCTGGGCCCCCCCCGGCGCCGGGCAGGCCTCCTCTGGGGCCAGGCCCTCCCGGGTGGGGAGAGGCGACGGGCCGCCAGGCGGCTCCGGAGGCCGCGGCTCCTCTTCTTCCGAAGAGTCCCTGGCGAAGGGGCGGCGGGGGGGCGGCGGAGGCTGCTCCAGGGGGGCGTCTCTTGGGCACGGGGCACGGGTGGCCCCCGAGGCAGTGCCCTCCTGGGACGGATGCTCCTCTTCCTCCTCCTCCTCCGCCTTCTCCTCCAGTTCTGCCAAGAGACTGTTCTGCAGGGGCTGCTCCTGGAGGAGGACAAGGACAGGCGTGGCAGCCCGAGGAACTCACCGCTGCTGCTCGGTTTGGTCTTCGCAGGCGGCCTCTCGCGAGCCGGGACTCACCCATCCCTCCTGCTCCTCGGCCCCCTGCGCCGGCACGTCGCTCGCCTCCGGTTCCCCTGCGCTGGGCTGCGCCCGGCCCCCCCGGCCCTCCGCGTCCAGGCCCCGGCGGCTGAGCAGCTCCAGGATCTCCTCCGTGATGGAGAGGCCGGTCGGGAGCGGCTCCTCGGGCAGGCAGAACTCCGCCTCCCCTTCGTCCCGGTCGGACTCCGCCGGCCCCGTCCTGCCGGCGCCGAAGGAGGGCCGGGGCGGCTCCGCGGCGGGGGGCAGCTCTCCCTCGCTGTCAGGGTGCTGCGGGGAGGAGGGCAGCGTCACCGCGGGTTGCTCGGCGGCACTGGCCCACCGAAGCCTTCCCGGGCCACCCTCGGGGCGGAGACCCTGCCGGAAGGGGCAGTCGGGGCAGCCGCAGGTGTGTCGGCAGGGCCGGCGTGGGTCTCCCCACCCGGCGTCCCTCGAAGGTGCCAACACACACGGCACTTGAGGAGCCGCTGACCCGGCGGCTCGCTCCCGTTTGCATTTCTATATGCTGATCTTGTGTTTCTGGCTTGCTACGTGGCTCTCCTTTGTACTCCCTAATAAATAGCATGTTTGCACAAATTGCTGGATTGTTTGTTTCTCTGGAGAAAGCACAGGGACTAGAAGCTTGAAAGGGGAAGTCCACATTTTTCTCTAGACTCAGCTCTCCACCCCTTACAGCCAAGTGCCCACAGATGCAGACCCCAAAGTAACTTACCTTTAATTTGGCCATGTCTGGAACGTCCCCAGCAGGGAAGAGAGGGGCAGGAGGAGAAGAAACCAAGATCAGAGGTTTTCGCAGAACAGGGAAATCTACATTCCCACTGAAGTGGCAGTTTAAATCTGTTGCAGCGAACGTGCTCAAGAGCCGTTTCGTGGCAGAAGCACAGCTCAGCTCCACGGGGTAAAATGTCTTCCCGTGCATCTCGTCCCAACACAGCTGAAGGCATGAGCGCCGCCCCAGTGGTCGAGCTTGTCTTATACAGCACCCAGCGAGCGTCACCTTCTCAGCAGCGTGGGAGGGAAATCAATAAAACCACCCCTTTCTACTGGGAACAAGTTGCTAGATCTGGAGGAGGCTAGAAGCCAGGAGATGGGATTGGTGGTCCTGGGCAGGGCCCCCTCCCTTCCAAGGGGAGAGAGAACCACATTTTCAAGAGAGCGGGAAGTGCTTCTGCATCGATCCCACCCGGGAGAAACCTGCAAAACATTTTCTGCAGTTGGATGCGCGGACCTTCGGCCTTCCGGAAAAGACCCTCCGGCCTTCGTCTCCACTCCGTCGCCGGAGGACAGAATTTGGGCGAGGAATTTGGGCAAGGAAGAGGCCGGGTGTGTCACACGCTTTGTAACAGCTGGGTGGGGGTCGCATTTGGGGTAACGGGGTCGGGCATCGTGCCCCCTCCACAGCATCTCTGCAAGGTGAAGCACTAAATACGCCCGATTGACAGACGGGGATCGGCAGGGAATTAAAGGGCGGCTCAGGACGGACGGGCCTGGCCAGGCCGGGAGTGGCAGGGACCCACCTGGCTGATGGAAGAGGCTCTGGGAGTCCTTGGCCGGCTCTGCAGGGGGGCGAGAGAAGCAGGCAGGTTAGTTCAGAACTCCAGGAAACGAGGGAGAGGCAGGGGCGCTCGTCAGGAAACGCGGTCTCTCTTGAGCAGCCTCGGGGGATAACCATCGGCGTGGATCCAGCAAAGCAGAGCGGGCCCTGCGGCATGTCCCTCGCACTTGCGGGCAGGAGGCGAAGCGCGCCCTTCCCGTTCCGGCACTCCTGCCCCCGGGGCTCTGAGACACTCCCCCCCCGGCTCCCCAGCGCCTGCGCTCCAACGACTTCCATGGAAGCTTCCCCAGGGAGGTCCGCCTGGCGCCGTCGTTATTTGTTTTTCGGCATCAGGCTAAGACCTTTTTATTTCAACGATATCTGAATAACTCTTAATATCATCTATAGGTTTTAATTTGCAGCCAGGGTGAATCTGGATTTTATTTGTATTGTGTTTGTTTATTTTAGGTAAGCCGTCCGGAGGCTATGCGATGGGACAGCATACAAAAATTCTAAATAAGTAAGTAAATAAATAAATAAATAAAGCTTCTGGGGAAAAGAGAAGGCTGATGGGAAGTGTTCCCATTAGAGAGCGCAGTGCTCCTGGAGTGGATTATCCACAAAGGCTTCCCGGGTTACAATCTGTGCAGGGAGCCACCGATCCTCTCCAGGCTCATCCCCGAACACAGCCCGGATCGGGCCCACTGCGATGCCCGTTTCTGAGGGACCCTTTCAAAGGACTTCCTACCAGCACCCTATAAAACCCGGGTCTTGCCGCAGGCCGCCCCCTGGTGGCAGGACTCGCCTCCACGCCCTGCCCCACCGATGGCGCATTTCTGGCCTGCCCTCACCGGACTGCCTGCGGCCACGCCGGTAAGAGCCGCTCTTCTCCAGCTGCAAGATGGGGCAGCTTCGACGGGCCCTTTCGGGACTGTGGATGTTCCCTGGAGGCTCTGCAGGAGGACACGGAAGTCTGATCAGGCCAAGGGGTAGCCTGGGTCCCGGTCCCAGGACTCTGCGGGGAGGACCCGGCGGCCTCCCCTTCCACCCGACCGATCAAAGTTATCATCGATGGAGAAAGCAAATCTGGTAAGGAAGGGACCCCTTGACGTATGTGCAGCCAGGTAAATAAATCAAGGAGGTTTCCTGGTTCCTGGGTGCCCCATTCCTCCAGTGAGAAGCAGGATGGGAACAGGAGCAGAGAATTAAATGTTTGATTGCAAGAACTGCAACTGGTCTCCCCTTCTGCATCCAGAGCATCTGCCTGACTTTCAAAGATTGTTGCTGAGCGTTTTACTAGGTGTGGAACGGACTGCGGCTTCTGTTCGCTGAAGTTTCTGCCCTGGATCAGGTCGATGGGCTATGAAGTGCAGGGCTCAGTTCATCAAACCCTGCAAGCTGCAGGGCATGGGCAGGAATTGTCTTGCTCTTGGGTTTGCTCACCCATCATCCGGAAACCAGAGGCGGGCTGCCTTGGCGCGCATTTCCACCGGAGGCCTTTCTGCTCTAGAGGGGGCTGAGCTTTTCCCCTCCAGGCTGTTGATCGTCTCTGACTACTTTGGTTTTGGTGCAGAATCGTGACCCAGGCTCTACACGAAGAGCCTTCCTTTCCTGATTTTCTATTGCTTGTGGCAGTGGAATAACACAGTTACACAAGCGGATCTGTTTTTCCCCCATTTTGAAAAGCACTCCATTTCCTTGGCTCTAACAAGAACCAGAAAAGCGCACTGAAAAACCAGAAGCCACTTTGTAGTCTAACAAGCCAGCCGTCAGCTGTGAGAAAGGCACGAGGAATGCACAGCCAGGGGCTCACCTAGAATATCTCATGGTTTGCAGAAGTCCCCCCACTGGACATTAAATTAAATTAATCAAATTATTAAATTTAAATTATTAACTTTAGACACGTTCTAAATAAATAAATAACTAAATTGTGTTTTTCTGCTGGAGTGCAGCGCCACCTGGTGGTGAAAGAGTGGGAAAGCAGGACAACCTGCAGAGAGCTGTAATTTTAGTTCCACTAGGAATAAAATAAAATAAAATAAAATAAATTTTAGGAAGTACAAAGTGCATCCAGCAGATTAACAGCCTCCGCTAGAAACGGCCGGAATGTGGCACGTGCCTTCGCAGAACCTGCCTGTGTTCATCCATTCCGAAAACCATGCCAACCAGGGGCTTCTGGCGGCACCGACCGGGCAGAAGAAGGGGGGTTTCTGGCCTGCCGGCTCTTCTCACCTGATTGCCGCCGGCTGCGAGCGCACGCCCAGGACTCGTCCGGCCGAGGGGAAGGCAGGGGCTTCTTGGGCGACTCTGGGCTGAGGAAGTCCTCGGGGGAACCTGCAGCGGAAGCAAGAAGCGGCTCGCTCGCCTGGGCTGCACCGCAGGCGGGAGACTCTGGCGCGGCGCGGCCGGGAAACGGGCTCGCTCACTCACCCTGGAAGCTGTTCTCCAGCAGGACTTGCTTGGCCTGGAACGAGAAGCGGGAGGGGAGGCGGGTCAGAGGAGAGCGGGGCAGCAGGCGGGGAGCAGGGGCCTGCCAAGAAGCCACGTCTTCTCCAGAGACGGTGCCCGAGAACTAAGTGAGCAGAGTCAGCCGGTACATACGAACGGGGCAGTGTGGCACAGTCGTGAGAGCTCCGCGCTGGGGCCTGGAAAATCTGGGTCCCAGTCCCCCCATGGCCAAGACGCTCCCGGGGTGACTTTGGGCCAGCCACAGACGCTCAGTCCAGCCTACCTGGCAGGGCTGTTGATGTGAGGATAAAATGGAGCTACGTAAGCCGCTTTCGACACATCGCAAGAGGCCGCAACGAAGGATATGAATGCAATGCAATGACCACAACATTCCCCCTCTCTCGGTCCAGCCGGCTGTCTGGCGCCCTCTCCGCCTGGCTGCTAAGACCTGAGGCCAACACGGCCCCCCTTTACCTTTTGAGGGATGGATGCCGGGTGATTCTCCACTATTAGCCGCTTCAGGTAATGGATCCAGAGCCGCTTCTCTTCCTGGTTCCTCACCTGCAGCAGAGGAGGCACCCCCTTGGGTGGCCGTGCCCAGCAAGGAAGGCCAGGTGCATGCGCGGGATCCCCCACCACGACACACGCTTCCCGCGCTCCCAGGGGTTCTGCTCTTTGCCGGGCCAAGTTCCTTTTCGGAGAAGGCCTGGGGAGGGCGTTTCAGCCGGCGGGGGGGGGGGGGGGGGGGGGGGGGGGGGGGGGCAGGCAGAAGGGGCAGGGCCGACCTATGGGGCAGGGAGACCTGCTTGCTTCAGGCCAATGCTCACCTTCCCCAACCTGCTCCAGGACTCTCGACTTCCGCCCGGGCACGGAGTCGATGTGGTCGCGCCAGGCGCTGTCCCGGGACCTGTGCATTCTGCCTGCGCCCTCTGACCCCACCAGAGGAGCCCGAAACTCACCTGGACCACATGCTGCTGCTTGGGGATGGAGCGGTCGGAGATCTTGAAGGTCGTGGGGTCCTTCGCGCTCTCCTGCAGGGCCAGGTTGCAGCACTGTGAGCGGGACACAAGCAGCACAGCTGAGCAACGGGCCACATCTCCTCCCAGCCCGCTGCAGTCCTCGGGGAAGAGACGGACACCCTGACCCCGAGCAGTGCGGCTGCTCCGGAAACTTCCCGGCCGCCTTCGGTCCACGCGAGTTCTGCTTTTCTGCGCTCCGACTGACAGTTTTCAAGAAAGGGGATCTCCTGCATGACGCCCGTCAGCCAGCGCCTTCCCTTCCCGGGGCTGCCGTGACTCGGGGCACCCCGAAAACCCGGGGATCCCCGCCCCAGCCTGCCCCCCGCGCACGGACCCCACGTACAAATATGTGGCTCTTGTAGACGAAGGCTTCGCCGCGCCGCTTGGCGATCAGGACCACCTTGCTGAGGAGGAAGAAGACCCTCTCCTTGCGCGCGCGCGGCACCCGGAACTGCCCCTCCAGGATCAGCTCCCCGAAGGCCCCCAGCTCGGGGCCGCTCCAGCCGACCAGCAGCCCCTGGATCTCCTGGAAGGGACAGAGAGGGCAGGGCAGGGCAGGGCAGGAGGCTGCCGCAGCCCCACCGCGGAGGGGAGGGGGTCCTGCTTCGCCCCATCCTTGTGACTGTCGTTGTTTGTCCCAGGTGTCGCACAACCTCAGCTCAAAAAGAGAACGACCGCACAATAAAAACCCGAGAAGGAGCTTGGCAAGCGCTACCCATAGCAGCCCCAGAGTCCGCCCCATGCGGTGCAAAACGCCGGAGCCACAGGGGTTACTCCTCCCAGGGTCCGAAGGAAGGAGAGGGGGATTCTCTGCCTGGCCCGGCAAGGAGAGCACAGAGCAAAGGCTCCCTGGGCAGAGCATTCGGCAGCCGGGTCCCCACGGATCGGGCCCTGCGCACCCTTCTCTCAGGGGCCTGTCCAGCAACCAAGGGAGCCTGCAAACGGCGGCGGCACAGCGAGCGATGCAAGCGTCTGCGGGGGACCGGGTAGCATTGGGACACGGGTTGGTAACCCATGTCTCCATGTGCCACGTCCAGTCCCCCCATGGGGGCTCTAGCTGTAACCCCCCCCCCCCAACCAATGGTGCGGCCATTTCCTCAGAATTGCTCTCGCCGGTCTTGGCTCTTGCCGGGAGGGGACGGAAAGGGGGGACAGGAAATTTCAAATGAAGGACAAAACGGCAGTCATATCACTCGCTTGTCCATTTTCTGGGTCTGAGCATCGGCCCAGATAAACACGCGCGCCTTCGTCTGGCAGATGTCCGGCGGCCGAGTAACAGAGCTGTCTGCATCCCGCCGTTTTGGGACCCGTCGTGCAAGTGTGGGTGCCAGAGTCGGCCCCCTGACCCTCTGGGTCTTCAGCAGGAAAGGAGAAAGCCGCCCCCTGCCTTCAAGGGGGCTCAGAGGTGCAAGGAAGGTGTGGGGCTGGCGGCAGCTCAGAAGCCAACCGAGTTCGGCACGCACTTCCTGGGGGCCGGGATCCGGGGCCTCCCGCCCCTCTTCCCCACCGCCCCTGCCCAGCACAGAGTCGTGCCTGGCGGCGCGACAGAGATGTCTACTCGTGAGGAAGAGGCAGGAGCTAACGGGGAGAGTCAGGCATTGGACCAAGGAGACTTATCTTTGAGGACCAGTGCCCAGATGGCCCATATACAGCCTGGCTCTCAGACTGCTGCACAAGAAACCTCTCCACCGTTTGATCCCTCGGCCCCTGAGTGAATGACCCCCCGTCGGCTGACGGAGAGGCGTCCGAAAGAGCAGCTCCCGCTGATTCCAGCTCTGGGCTGCCTGAGCAAGGCCCCCCCCCCCCGGCTCCTGGCTCCGAAACTGCCGAGCAGAGTTCAGGAGAGGACATGACGGGGAGTCGGCACACGCCCAAAACGGGGGGGCTTTGGCACGACAGGCCCAATTACGACGGCAGGACAGGGGCCTGTCCCACCCACGACCAGAAAGATGAGACGGGAAGGTCTGACGCCACGTGGTCTCCCAAGATAACTCAGAAGAGAACCAGCCACTGGAATCTTAGGGAGCTCGTTAGCGGAGCTCATCAGTTACACCGTAAATCTTGTAGCGACTAGTAATAAGAGTCTTTAGCTGCACTGCCGGCTGCCGTGCGAGTTAACTGAAGGCGTGAGTTACGACCGCACGACACCCCGGCAGCAGACGCGAAATCCCGCGCTCGCGCGAGGCGGGGAACCGGCGCGGCCTCTGCGGGCGCCCGACTGCGCTCCCCGTACCTGCAGCCGAGCTGCGTGCTCCTGCTTGCGCTTCATGTCGTTGATGTACCAAGCCACGGCCGTCATGGTGATGCTGGCCTCCTCCACGGCCTCATAGCCCGGGCTGCTCTTGTCGTAATGCTTGGCCAGCTCCTGGTGGGGGGGGAGGCAAGCGGGGGGCGGGGGTTACGCACAGGCAGAGAGCTGCTGCCCCAGAGGGCCTTGGCTATTAGCAGGTGATAGAAAAATGAAATTAATAAATGCATACAGGCAGTGTCCTTCAAACCTGAGCTTCGTTTGAAATCAAGCGTGTGATTTATCACTTTGCTATGTTCGTATCCTGTCTCTTTCCTGCAAGGTACCCAAGGAGTGTCCTGGCTGAGTGGGGATTGGAAGAACCCACTTTCTAGTCCTCATGGAGGCAGGGAGGAGGAAAAGGAAAGGAAGCTGGGTCTGTTACAGGATGCAGTGTTAGGCAAAGTAGCTTCTGGTGACTGGCTGAGGGCTTTGCCACCCGATACCACAACGCTTTGGTGCGATTTTATCGCTTTGTGGCACTGAGCGGCTAAGCCCTTCAAGCAAGCAAGCGAGCAAAGAAACAAACCCCGAGACAACGGAACGCGGCTCCGTGGGAGCGTCTTTCGGCGCTTCTGGCCCCGCCGCAACGCGATGGCAAGTAGCGCTGCCTTTTCTCAGTGCCGGGAAGCGGGGCCTGAACGCTGTGGGCCCCTTTGGGCCATTTTTGCTGATGGGAGAGGCCCCCCCCCCACGCCCCTGAGTGCTCCTGGCTGCTTCAAGGGCAAATAAAGCCTCAGCCCTCTTGGTGCCACCCAGTCTGGCCCTCGGCCGCTTATCTGCACAACAGCCCTGCGGGGGTGGCTCCTGTGCATTTTTAAAGGCAGTGGACCAAGGCTCCCCGAGGGCCTTGTGGGCAGGTCTGTGGCAGAAAACAGAACTGCACCGCGTCCGGTGGGCCGAGCCGGACCCCCTCTGCCCGACCGACTGGAGGAAAGATGGGAAAGCCAGCGCCGAAGTGCCGCCACCGCTGCTGCCCCTTCCGTGCACCCCGGCCTCACCCAGCTCCCTCGGGCCGCTCGGTGGGAAGCAGGGAGGGGGTCCTGCCGGCCCCTTCCTCCGCGTTGCCCCCCTTCCCGCGCCCCCCCCCCCGCTCACCTGCAACAGCAAGTGGTACTTCAGGATCCGCTGGACGGGCTTCAGCAGGTACGTCTCCAGGGGCAGCGAGTGGGACAGCAGCGCTTGTCTTTCCCGGAAGAACCGGGCCAGCGAGTCGTTCTCCATGCATTCCCGCAGCACCGAGACCGAGCTGGGGGGCGCAGCAGACTGGGGTTACTCCCCCTCCGTGGAAAAGGGGGACCCAACAGGGGAGGAGGGAGAGGGAGAAGGGGGAGCATGGAAGGTGGAGGATTTCCCGACCCGGCAGGGGTCAAGTAGATTTTGAATTTGGGGAGCGCACGTTTCTAGTCCTCAGGGATGTGGTGAAGAAGAGGAAGCTACTCCTGGACATTTTGCAGGCACGAAGCTACGGCAAGCCTCTCCCCACTGCCGTGGGGCACGTGGTCAGTGCAAAAGGGTGAGGCAGCTGCTGTCAGGGGCTGCTGGGATTTGTAATCCAAAACGCTGGCTGCGTTGTGCCCCAGGGTCTGTCTCTGCCTCGCCCCCCCCCCCACCAGCAGCAGGCCCCCCGATGACACCCCCGGGGTGGGGCAGGCCAAGCAGTCCCTCATGCTTACTTGGGGTAGTTCATGCAGTACAACGTGTAGATATCAAATTCTTCACTCTGTGAGAGTTAACGAGACAACAACCCTCAATCTGAGACCACACGCCTCCAAGCGGCTTCGCTGAGCAACATCTGTGTCCGCGGAAGAGCACCAGGGCCGTTTCTTTACGTTCGGGGGCAGACAACGCTTCTCCAGCCGCCTGGAGCACCGGGCCCATCCTGCTGGTCCTCGGTGCGTGTCCGGTGCCTTCGCTGGGCAGGGGCTTGGCTGCAGGAGCAGCTGTGGCATCGCCTTCCCGTTCTCGTTCCCGCTGCTGGGCCGCAGGGCACCCGGCCCAAGCCGCCCTTCCCATCCCGAGCGACCGCAGGGGGTGCGCTTGTCCACCTGCGCCAGATGCAGCCCGGGCCTGGCCTGCTTCCAGCCGGACCACAAAGTGCCGTGGCAGAGAACGCCAGGGCCAGCGGCCGCGAGCCCCGAGCCAGCGCTTCTCCCGCCAGGCCCTGGCGGGGGCCGCGAGCCCGGCAAAGACGCCTGGAGCCTCTTCCAGGAGGGGAGAGGCCCCCGCCCCCCATGGAAGTGGGGAGGGAGGCCGACCCCGGCGGACAGCCACTCACCCGCTGGACGAAGCACTCAGCCACGGCGTGGGCGCTGGCGTCGCGCTCCAGGTCTTCCAGCAGCTCGCTGCTCGGGGAGAGAAACGGGGCGGGGGGCTCAGGCCGGGAGGGCTCCTTGGACACCCGCTCTGCTCCTGCACCGCCCCCCCCGCCATGCCCAGGCCGGCTGCGCGTCAGGACGGCCACCCCTTCCGAGCGAGTGGAGCGATCGGCACGGAGAGCGCACCGGGAGCTCTCCGGAGGGGCTGCATTCCTTCTGGGCGAGGAGCCCGTCCGTCCGCCAGCCGTGTCCCCCCAGCCTCCTTGGCGGGTCCCATCCCACCCCCCTCCCCGCAGGGCTCTTCTTGAGCTCTTAAACAGACCCAGATGGACACGCAGCTCGGCTGATAGAGATATTGGCAGCCGACCAGCCGTTTTCGCGACGGGGGGGGGGCGGGCAGGGGGGAAGAAAGAAGAGGGCCGGTGTGAGACGCTACAAGGGGAAGGGAAGCTTGGCTATTAGCCAAGGACCCCTGCTGGCAGACCATCCTTAATGGCCATCCTCGACTGGGGGGTCACGGAGGGAGCGCCCTTCCTGGATGGGGAATAAAGACCGGAACAAAAGGACGGCTGAAAATTAGAACTGCTCGAAGCACGCGCTTCAGAATTCTCCGGGAACCGCTGAGGGTTGTGCCCCCTTTCAACACACAGGAAAGCTGAATCACAGAAGCCCCCTCAGGCCAGAGCCACCAGTGACACAGGGGCGCCCTCTTGCTCGCCTGCGGTGAGCAAGAATCACTTCCAGGCGACCAGGAGGTTCGTTTCTGTGTGTTAGAGGGACTCCTCCCCTTTCTCCCTTTTTGGATGCCTCAGATTGTTCGCAGCAGGACATGTGGACACCCAGGCCAGCCAAAGGATTTCAGGCTTGCACTGGGAGGACGGCAGGAATCGATCACCCGCAAGGCCCCTCCTATGTCTATGATTCTGAGAACGCCTGTGGATTTTTTGGCAACCCTGGAACAAAACCGAGAGTTGCCAGATTTTGACTTGTTCATATGGCAAACCTTCTTGAACCTGGAAAGATCAGGCGTATAGCAGACCTCCCCAACTCAGTGGCCTGCAGGTGTGGACCACAGTTCCCAGCATCCCCAGCCAGTAGGGCTAACAGGGGATCTGTGGGTTGCAGTTCAACCCATCTGGGGGGGGGGCACCAGATTGTGAAAGACTGGCCTAGACACTCCACACTGGCAGCAAGAGTGGCAGAGGCCTTCTTCACGTGTCCTAGGCCTGAATCTTGGCATTCCCAAGATTTTATGGGGCTGACCCAAATTAAGGCCAGCCTGGAGTCCATGCACCGGAAGGTGCCCCATAAACCCAGAGGTGATAGAAACACTCGCCGGCTGTGCCTTTCTGTCCTTGCGAGCCAAGTCTGGGATTGGGAGGGCCAGAACAGAAGGATGAGCGTCCCCCTTCGGAGAGGCCTGGGACCGATCCTGTCCCCCATTCAGAGGCCAGGCACTTTGGGGTTCGGTGTGAGCGCACCCCTTCTGCATAAGCAGCATTTCAGCCCCTCCCGAAGCCGCCCGCTCGTGCCCCTTTCCCAGACCCCCATCCCCTCCAAAACACGCATCCCCCTTCGAAGCCCCTCACCTTCCCCCAAGCCCCGCTCAAGTTACAGGCTCAGCAAATTCCAGGACGAAAAGCATTTCCTTTCTGGGAACGCCACCGTCTCCCCTACCACGCTAATTGCCGCAAGAACAGATCCCGGATCGGACCGTGTCCAGGAAAAGGCGCTCCGCAGCCAAAGACCCACAGGGGGCTTCTCCTGGGCCCGTCTGAGATCTGGGCAGGGAAGCCCCCCCCCCCCCCCCCGTCCCGTCTTGCCTTGCCCCCTATGGCACATTTTCAGAGCGCGCCGCTGGACCGTTCAAAGTCTGGAATATATCGCGACGGACGGACACGAGCGAGCGAAGGAGCGTCGTGGGAACGGCACGCTGGGGGGCCTGCCGCCGGGCTCCTCGCTGGCCAGCAGGGATTCCCCCATCCTCCCAAGAGAGACCAAAAAGGGGCTTTTCATGACCTAGCAGCCTTCAGTGAATCGGCTGGGGGGCCCCAGCCTTCTCGCCAGGGAGGGCCAAGGTTCCCTTCCGGGGGCCCCCTTCTCCAGGAATTATTTCCGCAGAGCTGCCAGCGAGAGCGAGGAATGCTCAGCCCTGCAGAAAAGCAACCACGCAGCCCGAGGCAGGGCTGGCCACGGAGGGTGCCTGCGTCCCGCCCCGTCCGGTTGGTGCGGGGACCCCTGGCCACGTGAAAAGCAGCATGTCCGAAAAGCAGGTTTCCGGCCCCTTTGCAAAGGGCCCCGGGCCGCCTTTGGGGAATCGGGCCCTCTGGAGCGGGCTCGCGAGCCCCGCTCTGCTTGGCGCTGGAAGAGCCAGGCCTGGAGGATACAGCTCTGTAGATCTGGCAGATTTGGACAGAATTGCTAGGATTTTGTTGAAACAGCTCTGCAGGCAAAGCCAGTCAATCCGGTTCATCTCAAACGAAGAAACGGTCCGGTTAATTTGCATTCTGACTTAGATTATCGGAAAGCAAAGGTTTCCCCTCCGCCATCCTTCCAGGGTTCCTCCCGCAGCCTTCTCTGCTGGCCACCAGCCCCCCCTCCAAGCCCAGGCGCAAGGATGGGCTGCAGCTCACCTGTTGAACTCGTAAATGTCTTCGATGTTGCAGAACAAGGTGTTGACTTGCTCAGGTTTGAGCGGAAGCTGCCCAGAGTCAATGATGCTGCCCAGGTAATCCTGCGAGCGAGAAAACAGGAAGCTAAGAGATGGATCCTTGATGTTCCGATCCAGAAGAACAGGGCCGCTGAACCTCTTGCAGGACAGTGGCCAAATTGATCTATTTATTAGATTTATAGCCCTCCTTTTTCTTACAAAGAACTCAGAGTGGCTTACACAAGTTTCCTCCTCGTGCTCTCAGTGTTATCCCCACAACAACAACCCTGTGCGGAAGGCTTGGCCGAGAGTCCGTGCCTGGCCCAGAGTCACCCAACGGGCTCCATGGCTGAGTGGGGACCGGAGCCCCGATCGCCCGAGTCCCAGGCCCACGTCTTCACCACCGCACCACATGGGCTCTCCAGTTCTCCAAATCCCACTTTGGAGAAGTTCTTTGGGGGCCTCAGACAGTGCGGGGGGGGTGGAATGGGGTGGATTGAAAGTGCAAAAGAGAAACAGAAACAGGCCCGCGTATGTTAGCTTAAAGCTCTTCCTGCTCATGAGGATGCTGCAGGGGGGAGATTTCCCGAATGGGGGAGGAGGGATCCGCACAAAAGCTGGGGGGGGCATCCTGGGGGGGGGGGCTGTGCCGAGCGGCATGCTTGGCTGAAGAGCATTTGCATGCGCTGCTTCTGCTTTCTGCACGGTTTCCCGTTTGCAAAGCCCCTGGCAAGCCGGCTGCTCCTGCCTTGGCCTCTCATCTCAAGCGTCCCGCCCCGCATTCCGGGGGAGCAGGAGCTTCCGCCCCCAGGCGCTCAAAGCCTCGGCCGGCCGTTTGCATGGTCAACCCAGGAGGCACTGGCTCAAGCCCGGCTCTGCGGGCCGGCCGGCCCCTCACAGTGCTCTTGCACAGCCCGAAGGACGGAGGGGACTTGCATTTCCTCCGCCCTGGAAAGGTCGCAGAGATGGAAAACCACGTGCAGCCGGGCGACGAGGCGTGAGGCGCCCCTGAGGCGCTGCTGCAAGCGGGCCACGTGTGAGCGGACTGAGGCCATGGACCCTTGAGGCTGGCCTGGCCGGGCTACTTTAGACAAACAGGAGGAGGAGATGCCATCGCGCCTGCGGCCGGCCTTGCCCTCCCCTCCCAAGCTCCCAGGAGTGACCAAGGAATTCCAGGAATGCCAGCAGCAGGGAAGGCTGGACTGGCAGAGGAAGCTGGAAGGGGGGAGGATGCGTTTTCCCACCCTCCAGAGATGCGGATTCCGTGCACTCTGGGGAGGAAAGCAGGGGCAGCGTGAGGAGTCCCCCTGCCCCACCTGGCACACCCCAGTCTGCATGGCGAGGACCCCCATCACCCAGGCGGGGTGGCCAATGCGGAGGACAAAGGGGCTGCAGCCGGAGCCTGGCAGGCGCCCGGCTGGCACAGCCCCTCCACTCCGTCGCCAGCCCAGGAAAGAAGCCGGCTGGTGGAACGCGCGGCGTGTGGGCCTGAGGCACAGCCTGGCCTTCAGATGGGGCAGCGGTGCTGCCGCTGCCGAACACACAGCCCTGTCCTTGGCTGGCGAGTCCAGGGAGACCCCTGCTGCCCCAGAGCAGAGCCCCCTCTCGGCTGGCATCCGGCTTCCAACAGGGGACAGCCACACGCCACCGGGAAGCCGACGGGGCGGCCTTGCCGGCGGTTCCCAGGAGCTTTATTCCGAAGCGCCCACGGCAGTCCAGCAGCCCTGCCGCCAGGAGGCTCTGGGGGCCTGACGAGCTGCTCCAAGAAGTGGAAACATCCGTCCGTCCCTCCTTCCCCAGATCTCTGACCCGGGAGCTGCCCGGCCAGCTGAGAGGTTGCAAAGCCAGTGGGACTTCAAGCCCCCCGAGGCCCGAAGGGCGCTTCCCAAGGGTGAGCACAGGACAAATCTGCCTGCAGGAGTTGGGCCTGCTCTTCAGACCCGGAAAACGGCACCCGAATGGGCAGGAAGCAAAAGGAAACCGTGTTTCCACGAGCCTGGATTAAAACGAGAGGAAGCGGCGCTGACCGGCACATGGGTGCCACCTGCTGGCGGGGGAACTGGACCGGGCTAAGCCCCGCTCAGCCACAGAGCTGGGCCTCGCCGTCCCTCCGCCTCGCCTCCCTCGCAGGGCTGTTGTGAGGCAGCAGAGGGGGGCCAGCGCTTACCTCCACGATGCTGCGCAGGTCCCGCACGTAGGCCTGCTCCGTCTCCACAATCTCCAGCACCACACGGTCCAGGTGGGAGGGCTTCCGCCGGCGCTCCTTGGCCGACCAGCCGCGGTGCGCCTCACCATCCCCGCTGTCCAGGAGGGCCACGGGCGTGAGGTCCAGGCTGATGTCGCTGCCATTCTGGTGGGGGTAGGACGGCGGGCAGCCCCCAAGGCCGCCCGCACCGCTGCCGAAGGCGCTCTGGCCGTCCTGCAGGGACGCCGAGGAGGCCGAGGAGCTGAGGCTGACGGGGCGGTCGCTGTCCGAGCCCACGGTGTTCACGGAGGTGCAGCTGCCCAGGATGGGGTCGGACGCCATGTCGGAGCCGATCCCCACCAGCGAGGAGGCGGACGAGGGCCGGGATGCTGCTGGCGGGGCGGGGAGTCAGAGGCAGGTGCGGGGCCCGGGGCTCGCGGGACATTCACCCACCGGCGCCGAAGAGGGAGCCCACCCCACACATCTCCTCCCGCAGCGCTCGGCCTCGCGGCAGTGGAACGGGGTGGCTGCACCGGTTCCTCCCCCCCCTGCATTTGCCCTCGCGGCTCCTTCTGTTCTTCGCGCTCTCGCACACCCGCCCCTCCCTTCTCCACATCCTTTGTGGCTTTTTCTCACCTTTTGAAGCCGTGGTGTCTCGCGCAAGGCATTCTGGGAGCCGCAATGTGCAAAGAAAGGGCCGCCGCGCACCTTCTCCGGGGCCCCCTCCCCTCCCCCGGCTCAAGCGCACATCTAGAGCGGTGCAGCTCGCAGGAAGAGGGTGCGGAGGGGGGGCAGCGCGGGGGTTGCGAGCCAGCCGGCCAGCAAACTTCAGACCGAAACCGGATTCGGGGCTCTCGCGGCCGAGGGCCTCCGGCTTGCAGGCGGGTGCAGGAACATCTCCGCGCGCAAACGGCCCGGGGGCCTTTCCCGACCCGTCGCGCATGGGCAGCGGGCTGGGGGGGGCACTCACCTGGCTTGCCTGTTTTCTTCGTGCTGCCCTTGCGGGCCCCCTCGGGCATGGTGAGGCAGTCTCTGGCGCCCGTCCTGCAAGGGATGGCGTTGCCTGGATGATCGGTCCGTCCGCGGCCGGCCCCGATCGTCGGGGGGCCTGCCGCGAGGTAGCGCAAGCGGGGCTCCCGAGCGAGGCATTGACAGCGCCAACATGTAAGCCCGGCCGCCGCTCCCAACCTGCTGCCCGCCAGATGCGTCGGCACGGCAGTGTCAGTGTCTCCAGCCGCCCGGAGGGCTCCGGGTTGGGGATGGCTGGAGCCGAGCACGGAACCGTCAGGCAGCGGAATGTAAACCGACGCGTTTGGTCTGTGCAGCCAAACTGGCACGCGGGCCTCCGAGGCCCAGGGCTCGGCGATCGCTCAGAGCCCCCGAAGGAGCCCCCGAAAGGCTGAGGAGGCGTCCCAGCGTGCCCGAAAGAGCCAGAAAGGCATTGGGTCAGCAGCAGCCGCAGGCGGGGATGCAACACCGGCACTTGCGGAACCGGTGGACGCTGCCGTGCCGGCGAGCTAAAGCCGAGGTTCCCCTTCTGCCTTTCTTCTCATGTCCCACCCCATGGGGGGCCACTACAATATCCCTAAAGCCGGTATGTGGAGCCGGAGGTCCCGGGTCAAGCGGCCCCCCGGGAACACCTCCAGCCAGGCAGCCCCCACCCCGTCTCCAGCTACAGATCGTTCCCTGGCTTCCACGCTTTCGCACAATTTTTCTCCGCTGCGGGGGAGCTGGCGTGCCTCTCCAAAGATTTAGTCCCTGCAGGGAGAGCATGAAGCCAAAGCAGGAGGGTATTTGGGGCATTTTGCCCCCCCCCCCGTTGCCTTGAGACCGCCCACCATGGGAACACCGTCTCCCAGGGCTTTTCCCAAGTTCCATTCATCAGCAGGTGAAAAGGTTCCACGGCGAAGGGGAAGAGGAAGTGGCGGAGAGCTGCTGAGGAAGCCCAGGTCTTGGCCCGACCCATGTGCCTCTCAGCCCCACCGGCCGAAGGCGGGAGGACCAGAATTGGGTTGCCAGGGGCCGGTGCACATGGCAGAGAAGGCAAGGCTGCAGTCGCCACGTCGGCGAAAATCCAGCAGGAGAGGCGGACGAGCTGTTTGGAGGAAAGAATGATGTGTGGAACTCCCTGCCACATGATGCGACGCGCCATCTCTACGTTACGACAGCGCTCTGGGGTGAAGGTTCTGGCAAGCGCCCGCACCTCTCGTTCGCCACCTCCTTGGCCACAAGGGCCCAACCAGCCTTGAGGCGACCGGAAGCAGGGCCCTGAGGCCAGCTGACCTTTGGCCGTGCCCCCTGGAGGGCCTGGCCGCTCGACCCGGAGAAGCACAAAGCCCAGCTGCGCTTGCTCGCCTGCTCTCCGCCGTGGTGCTGGGGGGCCGCCTGGCTCAGCCCCCCCACACAAAGGCTCTTGTTTTGGCCCGTCCCCTGGAAGTCTTGTGAAAACCAAAGCGGGCAGTCGCGCGAACGGGTGAGTGCGATGCGTCACCCCATCCGGGGGGGGGGTAGGGCAAAAGGTTGCTGCGTCTGGGAAACAATGGAGGCATTCAAGAGCGGCGGCAGGTCAGGGAGGAGAGCGGCCCCCCACGCGATGAGAACCTCGACTGGGCCGTGGCGGCGGGGAGGGGGCAGCGCCGTGCGCGCGGGACTGCGGACGGGACGGGACGGGAGGCAGCACGCTCACTCTCCCCCGGCTGCCGAGACCGAATCCTGCACGGTCCAGGGGCTCCATCGGCATTCCCTGCGCGCGTCCGCCAGGGAGCCCTGCGGGGACGGGGTCCGGGACGGGGCTGCGGCCTCCTCCTGCGAGTGCCCCCAGGACGTGGCTCCCAGGCACAGGCGCAGCGCTCCCTCCGAGCATGTGCAGACGCCGGGAGTGAGTCACGCAGCCTCCCACACACCACTGGGATCAGGACGCGTCCCAGGCGGCCGGTGGATGCTTCTGGGGGCAAGCCAGAGGCCCGGCACGTCTTTTCCTAGCCTTTTCCTATTTTAGAAACGATCGCTTTGTTCCTGGGAAGATGTCCCCACCGCTCCGGGTTCTGGATCCTGTTCTGGGGTGGCTTTCTGAAATCCAGTGCCCTCAAGACACGGACTACAAGCCCATGCATGCCTGGGGAAGCTGGGAGTGGTATTCCCGGGTGTGCACGGGCTTGGAGGACACCAGGCTGGGGAAGGAGACTGAGGCGAGAAGCACGGCATCCCCGAAATCCCATGCAGGCGCACCCCAAGCAAGAAAAGCTCCGCACCTCCCAGCATGCCCAGCCGGCCCTGCTGGCAACTGAACGGCCCAGCCACCCTCCACCAGCTTGCCCAGTCCCCTTTCCGGCTGCCCAGAGCTGGTGGCCCCCGTTCCAGCCTCCCTCTGCAGCAGGAGGCCCCCCGGGCCTCGCTCGGCCCGTCCCTCTCGAGCATCGCACCTGGAGCGCGGCTGGACGGCTTGCGCTTTGCCCCCACCTGGCCTCTCTTTGCCCTCATGGCCCCTGCAGCGAGCAGCCCCGGGGCCGGCTGGGGGAGCACCTGCCGCCAGGATGTGGGGGCACCAGTGCCCCTGCTGGAGTTCAGCAGGTCCGTGCAGCAGAGGCAAAGGGGGGGGGGGCCAGCAAGGGGCAGGCGTGGGACCAGCAGTGCCCAGACTGGTGGCTGCAGCAGAATCCTGGGTGGCCCTTTCTATTTGTTCATTTTTCAATTTATATCCTGCCTTTTTCCTACACAGGGCTCAAGGCAGCTTACCTCATTCTCCTCCTCCATCCTATCCCCACCACAACAACCCTGTGAGGCAGGCTGGGCCGAGAGCCTGTGCCTGGCCCAGAGTCCCCCAGTGGGCTCCATGGCCAAGAGGGGGCTCGAACCCGGATCTCCTGAGTCCCGGTCCCGTGCTCTTCACCACCACACCGCCCTGGCCGTCCTGCCCACAACGCCCCCCAGATGTTGCACCCGTGCGCCACGACAACCATCCCCACGAATTGGTGCGCCCAGAGCCGTCGCTAAAAGCAGCCTTGCGCTCGGTCCTCGGTGCTCCCGGCCAGCGGGCAACGCTGGAGCTGCCGTTGGCTAGCGGGAGACTAAACGACGCTTTTTGCCCCAGATACAAGGAAGGGAGACGCGTAACGTCGGGTCTTGGATGCGCACGTTTCACACCCCAGTGCGAGAAGTGAAATTCCCTTCTGCCAAGACCCGAGTGTGGGATCGAGGTCGGCGTGTGCCCCAGCCTGAGCTCCGTTCCAGCGGCTGGGAAGAGGGCCCGGAGGATCGGTCTCACCACGCTGCATTTTCCCCCTTCCCACCTTCCTGCCTCTTCCAGGGAACTCTTCCTGGCACCTTCCGGGGTCACCAACTCTCCATTTTACCCTTCAACAACAACCCTACGAGGTAGGCTAGGCCAAGAGGGAGTGGCTGGCCCCCGCACCACTGCACCCGTGTCATGGCATCAAACCATCCCTCGAGACCCGTAATGAACAGATATTTTATTTATTTTCCCGGGTGTTTCCCCGTGCTCAAGTGGATGTGCCTTAGCGCCAGGGACCCATAGTCTGCAAAGCATTACACAGACAGACAGTCCTGTACAGACAATGACTCAATCTGCGTGGATGTCACAATCGCAATCCACCATCGCTTGGCTATTGTCCCAGTAGCACGGCCTGTTCTGGGATGGGGTGAGTTGCATGATGCCACTTCTAATCAGGGTACGTGGGAGGGACAGGCTTTCGCGCTGCACCCCCACATTTAAATAGGATGTTCCGGCAGAATTCCCCCCACGGTGAGCCGAGCGTGGCCACTCCTTGCTAATGCCCACCAGTGCCCAGCATCTGAAAACCCTAAAGGCATAAGCAGACTCCTCCTAATCCAAGGGGAACTCCGAAAATATGGCAGGAATGCAAAGCTCACTCCGAAACAGAAGGTCAGAGCAGCAACAGACCGGCTATTTGCGAAGGAAAGAAGTGCTGTGACATCGGAGGAATGGGGGCAGTCTGAGCGGGTCGATTCCTGCCGCTTTGCAAGGCTTACAACTCTGATGCATAACCGGAGGAGCAGCATTCTGACAAAGAGCTGCTGAAATCCAGCCCCCCGACAAGGAAGCTGCTCCCCAAGCGGCAGTGTCCTGGGACGCTCTTTCTTCTACCTGAGCCAGAGCAGCAAATTCTGCTTTAATTCACAGGTTACGCTTGGAAAAGGACTGCAGGTTGCGTGAGCTCGGCTGCCCCTCTCCAAGTTGCGGGGCTCTGAAGTTCCCCAGCTCACATTCTGCAGTGTTTTTTACACACAAGTAGTCCTACAGACCCGCTCCCGAAGTGCCTAGACTGAAAGTCGAGCAAATTTCAGCCTGGCCTTTTACCGTTTCTTTTGTAGCGTGGGGAAAATTTCCTCGCACTGCAGATAGCGAAATAAAAAGGCCGCTTCCTTCTCGCGCAACTGTTGCGGCACAGCGCCTCCCAGAGGTCAGTTGCAGGAAAGCAGGAACGGAAAGCTCTGCTAGGGCTCGACGGAGAAGTAGGTGCAGCCAGCTCACCTGTTTCCGCAGGGGGAGGACAGAAAGGACTCTCCGGGGGGGGGGGCGCTTGGGTGGCCTGCAGGTACCCAGAACAGAAGCATTTCTGTGAGAAGGAGCGGCTGTGCTGCGACTCTGCTGCAGAAGCAGTTTGGCACCTCTTACTGGAATGAACCCAGAGCTTCTCCTTCCTTGGATGGGGAGCTTTTTAGGACTGTTCAGATGGCGGCTTAGCCTTGCCATGAAGCGAATTCGGCTAACAATGGGCTCTGATGAGATGCAGTTTTTGAAAATCTCTCTTGGATGGCAGCTGGGAGCGGGGAGGAGGCGGGATGGAGCGTGAAATGCGCAGAGCCGGTGGCTTGCTGTTCGGAATCCGATCTGGCAAATGTGGGGCGAGCGCTGCACGCCGGAACTGAGGCAGCAGCGAGGCAGCTGGTCCCCCAAGAAGGCTTGCCAATCCGACGTGTCAGAAATTTGGGGACGTGGTGGAGCGGCCATCTGGGGAATCGAAGGAGCAGCTCTTCC